AGTTAGCCCATCATGACGAATTCACTTGGAACTGAACACGATAGTTTCCAGGGAGAACTGAGAGGAAGTCGAGCTAACAGGGTGTATGAGCAATGGGGATACTAATCCCCATTATTACCAATCCCTTCTCCTCGACATAAAGTAGTATGTAAGTATACTATATGGATAAATAAATAAATAGTACATATGTAATAAATAGAATAATAGAGGGATAAATAAAGGGATTGAATACCCTTCCCAAGATACATAATTTAATATTAACGCTATTAACTTATCAATTGTACCGTACAACTATCCCGTTAGTTCATAAGGATCTTGCTGCCTACTGGCACACTAGCCTGCACTAATTTTGCTGCAACCATGTATAGTATTTACTCATTAAACTGTACCCTGATATTTACAACTCGACGCCAGTTTATTCCCCATAAATAAATGGATATATACTCGTAAACTAATTATCTAGGCAATATAAATCTGGAGCACCATAAAGCTTTTATGTTCTGGAATTAACTGTCTAATTAGAGAAAAGTGTAACTACCTTACTTTGCAAAATAATTGACTTCCTGTATCAAAAATGATATATGATGTGATATTTTATAGATTACTTACATTAATGGGTTTTTTATACAACTTAAAAGGGCAAACAAGCTGACGGCCCACCTGATGGGAAGTGGTAACCGTCGCCTATAGACATGAGCCGTACCATGGACATAACAGAGTATACTGTTTCGCCCATGTCTCTCCCCCATGCGTTGCCATTCCTGAGGACTCAGGTGTTATTGCTCTGTACCCTGTAAATTCACTGCCATATTCAACCCTTCAAACTGACACACAACCATGCAAACACAACTGCTTCACGGTAGAAACTCGAATGGGACAAAGGAAACGATTTTTGAACAAAGTCTCCCTCTGGCAAAGACGAGTTCTAGAGCTTTCTGAACCGCCGTGTAAAAATGAATCTTCTTATCAGTCATCAATTGTCCATTGCTGAACATAAGCCTTCCCCATAATGGGAGTTATGCCAGTAATTACCACGCTTGGCAAGTGGGTTGGCAACCGTAGTTAGGCTTTAGAGATGTTTTAAATGGGAAGCTGCTGTCCATCCCTCCACTATAAGCTTATCCAGTAGATTAAATAAATAAATAAATTAGAATAACATATGTTAGAATAAGAAATGATAAAAGCTGCCTTATATCCTTCGATACCGTATCAAGCGTCACCAGAGAATTAGATACGGCGTTATTCTCTCTTGTAATATCATAGATAATCATTAAATTTATCTAAATATGAATTAACTAGCGGCCCGTCCCGGCGTCGCACGGGTGGACATTTTTAACATTTCCCTTCACTGCTCTGCTCCTATTGATCGTAGCGTGATGAAAAGTATACTATAACCTGCCCAGGAGTATGAGGAATAATTGTACCAAGTTTCGTTAAAATCCGTCGAGTAGTTTTTAGGAAAATTTTACTGATTGCATTTTTGGCATCATTATCGCCCCCTGATAGTTATTTTGGAAATATATTTCATGTACAGATCTGATCTCTCTACAGATTTATTATAAGTATAGATTACATTGTATCTTAATATAATCAATTGATTAATAATATCAATCGAAAACACACATCCAAGTAATGCAATTAATAATCGACTCTATAGCACATTGTATTAAGATGTTATATTGCCATGACGGCGCGTAAGAACAGCAAGTTATTAGATTTGTGATTTGCCTGCGAAGCCGAAATAAAGGGATCTGAAGCTATTTCAAATTGAATCTGGTAATTTTGTGAAATAATCATTGCTATCGTCAGCTATTCGTTGCGCGTTTTGTAACGACATAAAACAAAAAAAGAAAGAAGATTTTTTGATTCGTTTGTACCCAAAACTTTGTCTTTCGTAAACTGATTTAAGAATTCTTTTTTTTTTTTTATCTGAAGGTAATATATTTAGATTGTCTATGCGAGATACTTTGTCGAATTCCGTTCTGTAAATTTTTAAATGAACAGTCGAATTCGGTATTTTGTTCTTGTGGATGTCCATATTGTACGTGTATACCAAATTTCAGTTATTAATTAAACTTTAAATACCCTATATGGTAACAAACAAACAAACTGACCTTCACACTTATAATATTACTAAGGATTGAAACAAATTAATTAACAAAAATCGCTGTGTGGTCCCGGCATAGAATAGGCCACCCCTTCCTTTCCTGTGGGTCTCGTAAGAGTCAACTAAGGAACCAGAGGGAGACTTTGTACAAAAATCAGTTGCTTGGGTACCTCTGACCCATTCGTGTTTCTACCGTGAAACAGTTGTGTTTGCATGGCTGTGTTTCGGTTTAAAGGGTGCGATATGGCGTGAATTTACTGGGTACAGAGGAATAACACCTAAGTCCTCAGGAATGGCAACGCATGGGGGGTATCATGGGCGAAACAGTATACTCTGTTATGTCCATGGTACTGCTCATGTCTATAGGCGACGGTTACCACTTCCATCAGGTAGGCCGTCAGCTTGTTTGCAATTGTAAGTTGTATAAAAAAAAAGTGGTAACTGTCGCCTATAGACATGAACAGCACCATTGATATCACAAAATATTATATTGACATAAAGGCCACATTCTTGTTACATGCAATTAAAGTTCTTGTTTGTATCTTCATAGTATTTTGTTAAAAGAGGGACTGATTGAAAACAAACATTGTACTGGGACACTCACAGCATCAGCTGAGCCGGTTCCTCCGGACACAGCCATGCGGCTGTGTTTCGGTTTGAAGGGTGGGATATGGCGTGAATTTACTGGGTACAGAGAAATAACATCTGAGTCCTCAGGAATGGCAACGCATGGGGGGTATCATAGGCGATACAGTATACTCTGTTATGTCCATGGTACTGCTCATGTCTATAGACGACGGTTACCACTTTCCATCAGGTGGGCCGTTAGCTTGTTTGCCATTCTAAGTTGTATAAAAAAAAGGAAGGGCGAGGGATGGGCAGCAGCGTCTCTCTTAAAACATCAGTAAAAGCCTAACTGCGGTTACCAACCCGCCTGCAAAGCGTGGCAACTACTGGCAACAACTACCTCTTATGGGGAAGGCTTATGTCCAGCAGTGGACAGTTAACGGATGAAATAATAATAAAAAATACAATTAACAATAATATTTTACGTAAATTTTTATTGTAACTCTTTATATGTATTTACCTCCTTCTTACCTCATTAAAGGTACCCACATTTAATAAGGTGAGAAAAAGGAAACTTGACACTTGTCTTCGTTGCAATGTAATGTAAACAAACTTTAAAGTACGAGGTAAACGTGTCGAATAAATTAATTACAAGTAACTAAGTGTGCTGCGGCCTTATTAGTAGCAGCGCAGCAGGTTGCGCGCGCGCATCATTAGTGTATGCTTTTCTTTGTATACGGAATCGAATGGAGATTTTTGTAGTGGGATTTATAAGGTTTGATACTTGGTAAGTTTTTTTTTTTAATCGGTGATAATGAAATGGTATCCCCGGCTGCGCTATCGGTATACGCTGATGAGGTACTAGTAAGGGATGATTAGGAGACGATGAAAGCAGGTCAGTTAGTTCATCGTGACGAATTTCAATAGAATAAACTACGATGGTTTCTAGGGGGAACCGCGTGGAGGTCGACCTGTTAAGGCGTATTGCTAGCAACGGGTCAGTAAGACCCCATTACTAATAATCCCTTTCCCCCCTGATACTTGGTGATTATTAATAATAATTGTAGTGTCATAATTTACGGTGGTGTATTTTTTTAATAGGATGAGTATGGAATGATAACCCCGCCTGTGCTATAGGTATACGCTAGCAGGATACCAATGAAAGGTGATAGATGAAGGACGATGAATAATTGGTCCATCACAGCGAATTCACTAGATATTAACCATGAGGCTTCCAAGAGAACCGCGTGGAAGTCGATTTAACAGGATACATTGGTATCAATAAAAACTGCCTTTCTTATAACTAACAATCCCTTACCCGCAGTGTGAGATGGGAGGGTCAGCTTTTATAATCTGTAGCTTATAGAACTTTTCTAGTTTCGTACCATTTTCTAGTGACATTTTTAGATTATATCAAATTTTAATTAAATTTAATTGGTAATGAAATTTATACAAGAATGAGTTGTTTTGTTGGGTTCTTAAAGTCGTTGAAGCGAACATCGGATGCTCAGTAAGTATTTTTTTTATCTTTTCTATGATTGATTGAATTGATGATGATGATTATGAATTGCCAATATTGCTGTCCAAATGAATTTTACAAACTATGTTCTACAAGTTTCAACGATATACAAAGGAAATGTTTCCTTAATTCTGTCTGCAGGCACTCCGGTAGTGCAGAGATTTGGCACTGAAACAAATCACTCGGTTTATAGTTATTTTATAGTTTGTGTGTTTGCTACCTCTTAGCTCCTTAACGGCTTAACCAATTGCTATGAAATTTGATTTGTATATATGTATATAATATGAGATGGTGAAGAATATAGGCTATTTTTTATTCCAGTTATTAAATCTTGGTAAAGGGAATGACTGGGGTAAAAGCTAGTAGTTTTATATTTTGATATATATTAATAGCTGTATGTGTGTGTAATCTATTGTTATTATAGACATTAAAAAAATCATAATAAAAAAAAGTTACAATAATTTTATTTTTATTTATTTATTAGGAAGACCGACAGCTTTCTAACAACGATAGTAAAATAAGAACCAGATATTTATTTAATATAATAAATTAATAATGATTTAAAAAAAATTGCTTATGTGAGGGTGTCGCCCTATGGTTTTATAGAAATACTTTTTTTTAAAGGCTTTTTCAATGTATCAAAAAGATCACGTCCATGCGTTAAGCGCGTAACTCTGAACGGATTTCGCCTTTGGATTCGCGTTCTTTTGTAATCGCCACGGAAGATCGATGCAAGTGTCAATACCACTCAATCCTACGATATTCGAATGCTCACCCGCAACAGTGCGCATGCGCAGGCGCAGACCACTTCGCTATCAGTCAGTGCTTCGGGTCATTCCGTTGGAAGCGTACGTCTTGCACGCAACCGCGCCCCAATACGAAATTCAAATGCATTTCGATCGCGTATCATCTCGCAATCTCTGATGGTGTGATTTATGAAAATTATAGTGTCTAAAGAATAGCAGACGGCATTAAGTGTAACTTTTCGTTTTTAATTACATGTTGTGTTGTGTTCGTGGTACAGGAGAGAGCAAGGAATGTGTGATACATTTTGCATCATTGGATTCGCAGTATAGGTAATGTTTACAGTTTTTTTTTCTTTTTATACCGCATCGGTCGCTAATATACGGCCAGTATTATGATAGACTGGTGAACTTGTGAACGTGGATAACACCAGGGGTGTGACGGGGGTCGTTAACCCTAAAGAAATATTACGAGCTACGTAATGAATTCTTTGCTGTAGACTGGTTTCTTTAGAGTTTTGAGTATATATACCTAACTTGTATGGTCGCGGAAAGAAACTCTGGAGGAGAGAGCCATAGTCCCATTTGGATTCTCAAGAGTTTTTCTATCTATGGTACGTAGGCAATGCGACAATAGAAGATATAAGTGATATCGGAACTTGGAGTAAGGGATTGTTAGTAATGGGGATTAGCCGCCCCATTTTATAAAAATACCCTGTCAGGTCGACCTTCACGCGGTCCTCCTAGAAACCATAATGATTAATTCTAGATGAATTCGGCACGATTGTCCAACTGACTTGCTTTCATCCTATATATATATATATATATATATATATATATATATATATATATATATATATATATATATATATATATAAGAAAACTTTAATTTTAAGCCTCATTTGTTGCATTAAATAGTGAGTTTTATCGTCCATGTGACGACGAGTAATTTTGCTTTATTTTTTTAACTTCTTAGGTATTAAATAAAAAATAAACCGGAATTTTTCGAATCGGTTTCTAACTGAAGGAGTTATAAGGCAACAAACATAAAAAAATTGCTGTGTGATCCCGGCATAGAATAGATAGAAGACTGAAGGAGGACGAGCGATGGGCAGCAGCGTCCCTCTTAAAACATCTCCGAAGCCTAACTGCGGTTACCAATACATCTGTTAAGCGTGGCAAACAATTGGTAAAATCCCCCAAGGGGAAGCTATTTGTCAGCAGTGGACAGTCAAGGGCTGATATGATGATGATCATGAAACAAAAAAATACAACGGAGTTGAGAACATCCTTTTTTGAAGTCGGTTAAAAATAAAAACTACAAAGCAGTAGGCCCTGGCGATTGAAAAAAGAATTATCGACACTAGTAATAAATACAAAGAATGCCTACAGGAAGAATTGAAAACTTTTCGGAATCATTTAAAAATCATCCGTGAATGCAGTGGAGCAATGAAGGAATGCGCTCAAAAATGCTCTGTCTCGTAAAATGCTCTAAGCACGTTTCAAATAAACAAAAATTACACTCCGTAAATTCTAATACGTTCAAATATTTTCGTTTAATCGATCGAACATTTTGAACACTTGCTACAGTTATTTTAAATTTTTGTCAACCTTCTAAAAGGACTTTTTATTTGTTTATATTTTTTATGTGTTCCTTTTAGGATCACGTTGGCAGTTTTGAAGTGATTATGTAATTTTTTTTATACCACTGAGGTGGCAAACAAGCACACGGCCCACCTGATGGTAAGCGGTTACCGTAGCCTATGAACGCCTGCATTACCAGAGGTATTACGCGTGCGTTACCGACCCTGAAGAAACCTCTTTGATTCTTGATGAATATGGTTAATATTGCTTATCCGAGGGTAGGTAGCCTGGTTTCCACTTCATCCGAGCGCCCGGTAATATTTCACTCGATGCAATATATTGGATATTCTTATTTGCGTTTTATTTTACAAAAAAGTTCGTGTGTTATAAATTATACCGATAACTCACTATGTACTCGCTATTAATCATTGGGTGTGAGCAGATTACGCGTTACTTTTTGTCGATTACTGTGTTATTTACTTATCTTATTTATTTATTTAACTCTTTATTGCGCCATAAACAAAAATATACAATGACAAGTGAACAATTTAAGTGAAATACATAAATATAGATTAAAATATATATATAAAGGTACAAAAGGCGGTCTTATCGCTAGGGCAATCTCTTACAGACAACCTTTGGTTGAAGGAGAACAGATAGAATCTTATTTATATAATAAATGAGAAAGTTTACAGGCTACAGAGGAATAACACCTGAGTCCTCAGGAATGGCAACGCTTAGGGGGTATCATGGGCGAAACAGTATACTCTGTTATGTTCATGGTAATGCTCATGTCTATAGGCGACGGTTACCACTTTCCATCAGGTAGGCCGTCAGCTTGTTTGCCATTCTAAGTCGTATAAAAAAAAACTAGTTATCATAATAAAAGCTTTTGTCATAAACAATTTCCTTCAAATAGTCCACTACACATGTAGGCAAGTATCACCATAATTCAACCGGTTTTTATCAATCATATGTCGATAAATCAAATTGACCGATATAACTAAGAATTTACCGATACGTACAGAATCGAGTTTATTGAAATTTAATTGATTCCAATCATCATTTGGAATTGGAAATGTGACTTATAGTTAACGTTTTTATTCAATTTGATCCGTGAACGTTCTGGTAGTTAGGAAAAAATAGCGTAAATAGCTGACAGCAAGTATGTGTTGCCATATGGTCCAGAGGGGCCTACCATGAAATATTTTCCGTAATTTCGGGGACGATCGAAACATAAATTTGATGTTACAATTACATAATACATGGTGTTTAAAATTATTAAAAATGTTAAAATATCATTCCTCTGAACTATTAGGATAGGATTTATGATGAACGAAATGTTAAGCTCTATTTACTGGGTCGATTTCGATACAAACAAAAACACGAAATTGAGCCCGAAAATTTGAAATTTCATTTCATGATAGACCACCTGGCATAAAATGGGCCGTCTCTTTCTTTCCTGTGGGTGTTGTATCAGGCAATTAAGGGAACGTAAAGGTCGAGGGATGGACGGTTGTATCCCTCTTAAAACATCACCAAAGCCTAACTGTGGTTACTGTGTGGTATATATATATATATATATATATATATATATATATATATATATATATATATATATATATATATATATATATATATATATATATATATATATATATATATACACATAATTACTCTTCTCCATCCAAAGGTTTCCTGGAAGAGACCGCTTTTAGCGATAAGGTCGCTCCTTCTATTCTCAGTGTGTACCTAATTGTTTATATTTATAAGTTTACTCCTCTAATCTCTTGCAGAGAACAGTAAAGAATATCTATCTATCTCACTCTTTTTTAAGCCGCACCCTAATTGTTTACTATCTGGACACGAAAATCCCATGGATTCAAATCTGACAGATACCAAAAACTTTGTGTCAATTAAAATTTCCAAACAACTTTCTGGCTCCTGAGAGAGAACACAGCTAACAAATTTTAATTAATCCGCTAGATGGCGGTAGTCTCGACCCGCGCTGCATTCAAATTTGTTAACCGAAATAACTACAGAACGACGAAATTTGATTAATACCACTGGCTAATCCCCCTCGGATTACAATCGTGAGTATATTTTTGAGCGACTTCAAAAGCAAGAGTTTCTCGATTCGTTCATGTTTTTTTTTTTGTGATTGTATTACGCGATTACGTCACCAATTCGAAATCAATCTTTTTTGACAATCAATTATGACAATTAAAGCTACCATTTCTTTTTGCAGAACAAATAAAACTGTTTTGTTGTGGAATAAACTAATCCGGATAAATGGACGCAATTAGTGTTGCCAGTAAACTAAATATCATATGCGACCGCTTCTTTTAAGAATAAGAAGAATTTTCTCTGCTCTTATATATATTTGTGCTTGCACTGCAGCTTGCTTATAATTCGGGCTACGTCGATCACTTTGTTTCTTCTACGGATATCCTCATTTCGGATTCTATCACGTCATAAAACTCCGAGTAAGGCCCTGTCCATAGTTTGCTGAGTGACTTGAATCTGTTGCATACATGACCGTAGCTAGGGGCGGGGAGGGGGGCATTGAGGGGCAATGCCCCATCTTAAAATGAAAAGCCCCCAAAAATTAGACAGACCGCTTTTTCGAAGTTACTTTTGGCTTCTGCTCTACCTTAAACTTGGGTGTATCTACGGCCCTGGTTGCATACGTATCACAACCATGTAACCCATCGAATACTCACCAACAAATACACATTACGTTCGGCATGACGTGAACATTATATTCTTCATGATGGAAAAAAAAACTCGGCACGAACGAAGAGTAAAGAGGCTAATTGGATCCGAATTCAATCTTGTATTAACACATAAAGCTGATTCAATTGATAAATAGCTATACAAATTAATATTAGATTAATGGTTTCATTTCACGAAGAAATTGTAAAGTGAAATGTGTACGAGTATGCAGGGCCGGATTAAACATATTCAGGTCCCACTTTATATATAATTTCTTTATGTTCTTTGCTATACTTTCTATATGTTTTCCTTTAACCAAAGGTTGTCAGTAAGAGATTGCCCTAGCGATAAGACCGCCTTTGTACCTTTATGTGTATATTTTAATCTGTACTTCACGCTACTGTATTTCAATTGAATTGTTTATATGTCATTGTTTATTTTTATGTTTTTGGTGCAATACAGAGTTAAATAAATAAATAACTTTAAAAAAAATGTAAAATTTACATCATTGTCATATTAGTCAGTAGGATGGTCAATACACTGCTGAATATAGGCCTTCCCCTATGGGAAGGTTATGTCAGTAGTTGCCACGCTTGGCAACTATTCTACATAATAACTTGAAATGTGTTATAAGATACACTGAAATATGACGATAAAATATAAAAAAGGCAATTATATTTTCATTTGATGGTTCGTTAAATAAAATTTTTCTGACGTCACTTTCACTTAAAGGAACAGTTTACCTGAACTTATACATGGTATCTTTTAAGTTTAAATTTATAAATATCTGTTATGTCCAAATAAATAAATAAAAACAAAATTTTTCTAAAACATATTTGCCGGGGCGCGGGGCCCCTACCTAATAGGGGCGTCTAGGCAGTTGTCTTCACTGCCTAATGTTAAATCCGGCCCTGTGGGTATGAGAGAATGAGTTGTTCCCACGAGAGATTAGGCTTCATTCACACATCGTCGAATCATTATTCCAGATTACGAATTGATGGTTTGTTATTATTTTGCAGTGGCTCTTAAACTCT